CAATTTTCGCCTTCCATGTCGCGCCCTCATCCCGCTTTGGTGGCTGGTCGCGGATACTTGAAGATGTCGTCGAGCAGAGACCAGAATAACGAACACTTTCCATTTTTCTTCTCCCGGAGAACGTCTCATGTTCTCTTTCCTCTCCAGGAATTTTCTCCTAAAAACTGCGAAAGCTATTCTTATCTCCGAAATTCAAATAGCAAGTATATCGCCCAGCCCTGAATTATCTTCCATCTGAGTGCTATAACAGAAGACAGACAGGAAGTGAGGGAAAGGAAGGGCATTTCCAGTTTCCAATCATTCTATGTACATTTTGGCTTGTGTAACACTGCACTACTCCAGTAGTTTGTCATGCGACTGTTGAACTCTTCCACATGAATTGCAGTTGTGCTATAATTGTCCATTTGCGAGAATGATGACTCATCGCTAGCTTCTCCGACGTTTTTCCGCCCAAAGTGGACGAGAAGGGCAAGTGAGTCTCCGCCTTTTTGGGGGGTTTAGATATGCGCGCACATGCCCAAGAAGGGATTAAGACATAATTTCCTGAAATCTGAATAGTTGGCTTTACAAAAGTCTCAGTTTTCGATTTACTTTGTAAAGGAAGTGAGGGACTTTCTTTCTCTTTTAAGGATCTTTACAATTGTCTATTATATTTGGATATGTTGTATTAGTGAATACTCATATTCTAACTTAAGCCTTGCTAGAAGATCACAAGCCATTTTGTAGAAAGTTCCTGTTAATGACTAGTACTGCATACATGAAACAAGAAATAGGCAATGAATCATTGACTAAAAGTGGTTAAGAAAGTGATGAATTGATTTGATGTTCAAAAAAAGCATTCGATCTTTTTATTTAGCTATTGATTCAAAAATTTTACGCAGAAATAATCGGATCCCTGGAGCCAAAATATATCCTTAGCATTTCATAGAACCTTATTTTTCTGCAAAAATGCTTATTTTTATGAAAATGGTTTATAAACATTCAAAGTATTCCTCTTTGTGATCACTCGACAGCCCTTATTTTTTGCTAGCAAACACCATTTTTCGTCAATTTTTCACGCTTTTCCGATGCAGCAGCTTCTTTCCATAAATCGTCGCAACATCTTATATAACATATTTTTTCCCAAAAAATGTGTTCAAATTGCTTGCTTTTTGAAGAACGAAAAAAAAAGTTAACTAGTTAGAAAAGCATCCAACACGAAATTGTTGCGATGAAGAGCGCTGGTGGCAAATGGACTACATCTCATAAGTCAACGTTAATCCAAATTGTCTCATTCCGTCATAACATACGCTTGAATGCTCCGCTCCTCACCTCTACCCCCTTACCAGCAACATTCACAACGTGCGATTAACTCCACGCGCTCTTTCTCCTATGCTGTACTAAATAGCAAATTAAACACGTCCAGCATTAATTTCAGGGATGCATCTCTTATTCTGAACACAACGTTCTTCTGTCATATTGATTTACATAGAGTTTATCCTCGAGCACTCATAAAATGTTATTTTGAAATTTGATTAAATCTCACTCTAATTTGAAATAGGGCATTTTTTTTCCTGAAGGTTCTGGCCTTATCTCGAATCACGAGGTTCATTCATCGTTTCCAGTTAAAACCTTTATGCACTAAATAATGCCGTATTCATTCTATTTATTACATAATTGAATTTTTCCGGTTCACTGCTCAACCTTTACTTTTCGTCATGATTTATTTTCTGACTCCTTCCAAACTTTTGATTTGATGTGTGATAGGGGCAGCATTCCTGATTTCTGAGGACGTATTTCAGAGTATAAACAATATTTCAATAGTTTTTTTTTGTGTATGAATTACGTAATTGTACAGTTCACTTCCTAGGAGCCTTAGCTGTTATCATTCATATGTGCTATTTTTTTTTTGGAATTTTTTGTGTCTTAACTCTCGCACAATCCACTCCCCTTCCCATGACGAACATTTGCTTAATCATATTTCATATGGTGTAAAAATCATTTGAGAACCAAGTTTTTTGAATCCGCCAAGATTTAATAAAGATATCTAGGTCGGACAGCGTTCTCTCTTTACGGCTTTCATGATTCCAAAAAGTTCTATATACTCCCACTGCGGTGCCAAGAACTTGTTAGGCACGATTGAACTAATTCGATTTAAAAGTGCCAAATTGAGCGACAAGATTAGCTTACAACCTTTGTGGATTTTCAACAGAATGCGTAAATCTACCGTCGTCGTCTTGATAGTAAAGTGAGAATCCTTGCCACATGTATCGCTTCCTTTTGAGTTTATCCTCGGAAGAGCGAAATTGTATTAGTTGGTTTTCTTCTTCCATTGTTAATATCGTGTGAATTAGTTTCTTTATTGCCTCATTCCAATATATATCTAATGTTTTCCATGAGTTTTGCAAAACGAATTAGGCTCGAAACCGCTGTGCACAAGGAATTTCACATTCATGCCCTTGTTTAAGCTTTTTTTCCTAAATTTTTGAAATTGCTATAACGTAGCTATCAAGGATTTTTTGCCTCTAAGAGAAGACGCGAAAAAAGTATGACATCAAGACAGCTTGTCACTGAAAAAAATGGAAGATGCGAACTGCGAAAGAGGTCGGGCTCTCTCATTTCTTACCATGTCGCATGACCTATCGTAATTTATTCCTTTTTGCTCTTGAGCATAGCTTTTTTGATTCGAAAAGAATCTCCTATTGGTCTCCTTGAATTTCGTGAAATATCTTAGCTAGAGCCCTGTAGAAATATCGATTTAACGCTTTATTATCGCTAAAGATCTCGTCAGATAGGGGTAGCGAAGCAGGCCCTCACGTTTTTCGACACTCTCGTCTCGTCACGCACGGGTTTCAGTCATACAACGTCTCCCGCATCCCATGGATGAGTCAAATTTTCACTATTCATCAACATTCGCTCATCAACAAGTATTACTTCTCTTCAGTGCGTTGTAAAGAACTTGACAGAAATTTCGTAAACATCTAGGCGATCACACTGTTTCACCACCGTTTAACCTAAATTTTCGGGAAAAACTCACCATCGGCGGTTGTGTGTCTATAAATTCAAAATTCTTATACTGACAATTGTCTAAAATTTTTGATATCACACGTTCTGGTCATTTTTGCAATCATATCCCTTTGCTTTTCTATTCATCGCTTTTTTCTCATCCTCTGCTAGATAATGGCTATGATGGCATTTTGTATGAACAGCTGCTTTGTCTCGTTGTCTTTTCTATATAGATTATCGTTCATCTGCTGTGCTAAGGTACGCATATTATCCCTTCCAGGCATGGACTTCGACTCAAAATATACCCGAGGGCCATTTATTGAGAGCGGATCCTTTGGGGAAGTCTGTCGTGTCAGCAGAAAAAGCGATGGAGTTGAGGTAGGCAAGCTAGCCCTGGGTTTCTCTTTCACTCCACCTACTCCCGCATTGAAATTCAACAAACTGCATGCGACATAAAATTTTAGTCATATAATCCATAATAGTTTTTATGCAACAAGAGAGGTTGGATCGGCATAAAAGTGAATTTTTTTTGTATGGCCTAGTGCGGTAAGAAGGAGCTTCCGGTTGATCAAGACAATGATCTATTCAGATGGCCTTAAAGACTATCTATAAGTCTAAACTACCTCACTATGCCTATGCAGCTCACGGAGAGTATCCTTTCGAAGTGCAACTCTTGAGAAACCTTGATCATCCACATATCATCAAGGTTTTCATTTGATCTTAAAAATCCTTATTTCAAGGCTTTTTACAAGCTTAACATGTTTCAGTTTATGGATTCGTTCGAAGATGCCAAATCTTTCTTACTAGTTATGGAATTAGTAACAAATTCTATAGACCTCTATGATTTCACTATGAGACGAGTTGAAACTTGCGAGGAAGTGCTTGCTTATATCTTTGCTCAGGTTTGTTTCATTCATAATTAATATTAAAGCATTATGGTTGAGATTATTTGTGTTACTTCGTTTTGACCTGACATTTTTTACCATTCTGTGCCAATGATTTTTCCTTTGAAAGCTCGTTTTAGGTAGCCGATGCCTTACTCTTTCTACACTGCAATGACATTGCTCATTTAGACGTTAAATTGGAAAATGTAGTTATGGATGAGAATCTTCACTGTAGGTTTTTTTCGGAAACTTTTTCTCAGTGAGAATCACTCGTTGCATCTGCTTTGAATGAAGAAGTTTTGAAAAAAAAAGCTATAACAAAACAGCCGTTTTTCTTCCAATTTGAATATTCCTGCTTTAGTATTCATTCCAAACACTTTTTAATTCACTTAATTAATAATACCCTTAGTCTTTTTCTAATTTCTTTTTGGAAAGCATCAAAACGCTCTCATGTTCTCCTTTTCAGGTAAACTAGTGGATTTTGGTAGTGCCGCTGCATGTAGGACCGGTGAGCTCTTTTACCAACCTAGATGTTCAGAACCAGCTTGCAGCCCTGAAATTTGGAGTGGTCGTAGGTAAATAGTCATTATCTGCCAGTTGTCAGGGATTACTGGTTACGTGTATGCTAGCTTAGCTTTCACGGAAAAGATGCAGACTGTTGGGCGTTGGGTGTACTACTGTATCGACTATGTTATCGAGAAACTCCCTTCATATCATGTGACGAAGCCCTCAGCTTGGATTACGTCTTACCCGATGATGTTTCTCCAGGTAAGATCCATGGTATTTACTGCTGTCTTCTTAATTTAGATCTTTAGCGCTGGACGATTTATTCGCGCGAGTGTTCCATGAAACAGCGCTTTGTCGAGCTGAGGCTTGGGAGATTCGGCACCATCCATGGACTTTGGCTGGAGACAGGAAGGGTTTTAGCCTAAGTGATCTTATCATTGAAGGTATAACATTCTTAATCAATTATTATAACGATTAGAGCTGCGGTCGTTATAGAAAGCACTCAAAAATCTAGCGATTCATTGAATGACAGCGTTGAAGATGGCGGATATCTGTCCGAAAAGTAGTCACTTGCCAGAGAAACTATGGGTATTGCCATGCGGGTTGTATATTTTGCAAATGTTTTAATAAATTTCTATTCGATTTCATGGATTCGCTTGTTGAACACAACAGGAAAAAGAATAAAAAATGATCATTGAAGAGGATAGTTTGATATTTAAAAAATGTAAATTCACATCTTGAGAATGGAATTAATATCAATCAAATTCCAAGTGAGGC